GAGCAAAGCTCAAGCCATTTTCCTTGAGTATTTATTTTTTATTTTTAAACACTTTATTAGTTAACGTGTTAACTGTGAATTGTAAACGAACCACTAGTTCATATAAACCTTCTCTTAAGATAGATTTTAGTGGCCTAGAAATGGCAATATCCAATTTTTTATTTTATGCGCGTTTTGGAGATAGAATCTATCATCTACGTTGATGGCATGCAAGTACTCTCTCCCTTATACAAATGAATATGAAGTTCAATTTTAATTGCAGGATTTTCTTAATTCTGTTTAGTATTGTGCTTTCCTGGTGGAAGTTTGGGTATCAGGGAGAGAGAAAGATAGGAATAGAGCTCATGTATTTTTCCCGCATGAAAATGCATGCAAGATTGTTCATGGATTTGAAGGAGAATTGGATTGGTAACTAACCTCATTATTTGTCATTTGACACCCAATGCTTGAACTTGCTAGTATTGAGGATATGATGTGGGAGTCTCATGCACGTGGGATGCCTTTATTATTAGGTGATATTTTTTACTTAGTTTGGCCAATTGGTAATAGGTGTTTTTTTTTTTTTTTTTTTTTTTTTGGTTCTTCTTATTCTTATGTTATTTTCTCTTCTCAAGTAGATGATGATCTGCATTTTATCAATGTTGTATCTTGTTTGTCTGCACAATATAGACTAATCCTTTAATTACCAATAAACCCTAGTTTTATTACTTTCCTGTCTATTGATGGAGTATGGACAGTTTCCTCGATCTTTAATACCTAAGAAGTATGGGTACAGACATGACTGTATTTGAAGCTTATGAACGCTATTGCCTGCTGAAGTGGTTGAACTGTCTAAAAAGGATGGTCCATGGTTGTATTTGGTACACGTGGTTTTATGTATTTTTTTGCTGAAATCTAGTTAAAAAGTAAAAATAAATCTACCTCTAAAAATAATAAATAGAAAATATGATATATGCTGGTTGGTTTTTGTTTTCAAAAACAGATATAGATGTAACAATACAAAGACATACAATCTCTACTACTACTTTGTTTATGGTTTTGGTGATTTGAATTGTTTTTATATTTTAAGAACCACAGATTGTAATACTTTATGTAGATGAGATATGCTATGATTGTAGTATGTGGATGAGGCATGTAGTGATTGTGATATTCTAAAGTTTCAAATTTTCTTGCTTTGGATGAGGCATGCAGTGATTGTAATATTTTTTTAAGTTATTAACTATAATACTTTTTTTTTTTTTGAGGAAGTGCACAAGTTGAATTATGTTAAAAATTTATAAAATTTTAAACCGCCAAACCGATTCGCATCCATCCATCAAACCGCCAATCCGCTCAATTCACATCCGTCGGATTGGCGAACGGATGTGGATTGATTTTCTTCAATCCGTCAATCTGACGGACGGATGGCAGATTAGAGATTTCGTGGCCACGATCGACCCGCGTCCACTCCTAAAAAAGAGAGAAAAAGAACGAAAATAAGAAGCAGAGATGAGAGAGAAAGAGAGATGGGGAATGGGTGGGGAGAGAAACGAAAAGGTTAAGAGAGAGATAAAGATGAAAGGTTTGACATAAATGAGTTGTCAAATATGTAAGAAAGGAAAAATTATTTGGCGCTCTTGGGCATCACCTAGTGGTATTTTTTATTAATCATAATCTATTATGGAGTGTTTTGAGAAGTTGATTAAAAGTTGATTTTATATTTTTTTTTAAAAACTTTTATATCTTTTTATAAGTAAAAAATGTGAGAGGTGATATAATCTAAAATGAGTTAAAAGTTAAAAAGTAACTTTTAACTCATTTTCCAAACGAGGTATATGTCTTATTCTATTTTTCAATCATCTAATTTAAAATTATAAATCTCGTCAATCAATCACAAAACCTTTGGAACCAATAACTTCTGGAAAGAGAGAAACGAAGATGTGAGAATAAAGGCATAAATTTTTCACGGAAAAATATGTATGGCCTTGGAAATATATATATATATATATATATCTCAAAGTTTTATTATTTTACTCGGAAATAACTGCACAGTAAAATTACAAAATTATGAAAAAATATAATATTTTAATTATTAAAATTAATATGTGACTTGTGTGATGTACAAAAATTTATTTTTAAAATAAAAAATTAATAAAGTTGTTAGTAGTTGATGAAATTTTTTTTATCATTGTGTGTAATTATATATAAAAGGCTTATAAAAATAATTTCTTTACAAGTTATATACAAAAAAAAAAAAAGAGTGTATTCTCAACTTGAAATCAAATCATCATTTGTGTTAATCAAATTTATCAAAAATCATGAATTATACTTGTATCTAAATATTTTTTCTGAAGAAAATAAAAAGAACAAAAAGTTCTATAATGTAAAAATTATGACTTTGTTATAACTCATGGTGTATATTATGATATGTGTTGCAAATGAATAATAATAATTTTAAGGGTAAATTACAATTACACTCTTGATGTTTGGGTTTAATATATATCACCCCTTAAGTTTTGGAAAATTACACTAACCCCCCCTGTCATTATAATTATTTAGATAGAATGAAAATATTGAACTCATGCATTCTTTCTTTTCTTGTTTTACTTTACTTTCTCTATTTTTTTTCCCCTTTCCTTTGCTTTATTTTTTTTCCCAATGTAATTTCCTCTATTTTTCTACTAAAAGTTGTTGTCTTTTATATAAGTAAAAGGGTTTGTAAAATAAAACTATTAACCATAGGAGTAGAAATATAATTGCCAGAACATCAGGAAATAAAATATAATTGGACCAAATCTCAAGGTGTCAATGTAATTTACCCTTGTTCTTATGAAGGCATGTTTTTACTTGCAACTTTGTGTAACAAGATTACTTACAACTTTGCTGATCAATTTTGTATAAATGTTAAAATAACATTTTTTTATGTCATTTAATGGTAAACAAATTCATAATTTGATCACCCTAAATGTAATGCCCTCAAAAATAAACATAATCCCATCATCTAACAGTTCTATATACATGATAGGTAAATCACATTTCCATACATACACTAGAGTTATTATTACAAAAGGGTACTTCATATAAGTTTCAAACTATTTACAACATAACAAAATGCCCTATAGGCTTACATTTTTTCAAGTAATAACTTGGTTACAAAAAGAAGAGAACTAACTCTTTACATATAAAGCCTTTGGCTTGAGTTTACATTTAACATCGAAATAAATTGACAAAATGAAGTCTTCAACTCCTAAACCTCCCAAGCTAAGACTTTGGAGGCGGCATGTCTCATATACCTGAAAATGGTGTCCCAAGTAGGGTGAGCCAAAGTCCAATAGAGATATGTTAAACCAAATACGAGAAATAACTAAAACATTACCATTCGACAAATGGTTAACACTTGTAAGCCAACTTACACCCTTTACAAAGCCCAACAACAATTATATCCATATTTCAATCCACTTCCATTCGTTTATCCAAGTAAATTCATAGACATGGTTCATTACTTATCCAAATAATTCAAAATAAGACTACAACTCATATTATCAACACTTCAATTATCAACAATACAAAATGAGACTACAACTCATATTATCAACACTTCAATTATCAACGTCATTCAAACGCATTTAAGATTTCGGGACTTTCACCTTGGATACTCCAACCAACTTAGTTATCAATGGAGTCCATCTCCTATCTCCTCTCAAATAGTGGAGTACATCCCCTATTTCCTCCCAAACCATGGAGTACATTTCCTTTCTCCTCCCAAACAAAGATACATGTGCAATGTATTTAAACACCTTATCATATACAATGATCAATTAAAACACATATTTAATGTGTTAATCCAACCGTCATATTTAATGGCTTAGTTCAATTGATTAGTTTTAGTTTACCTAATCATCATATATTTTCTATAACATTCATGGCTATCCTCCACCGATAGCCTCAAACAGTTATTTCTAAATAGATAAATAAATCTATCGAACAGATAATTTATTACACTTTCCATAGGTGAGTGACTTATCAATCCAACTACATCATTTAATCACAATTTCCTCCAATTTCACAATTTCCAACCCAATTACAAATTTCCACTATTAATTCCTTTATTTTGACAAATAATTCATTTAATCCCAATTAGGGCATTTTTTCCCCTTTCTCAAATAACAACCCTAAGGCTCAATTTCATCAATTATATACAATTAACCCCATTTCAAGACCTCACATTCACAAAGGAGTCCAAAACCAAGAAACCCCTGTTTTATAATTTCAATCACAAGCCCTAACTTTACCCAAAACTCCCAAACACCACCATCTATACAAAATAACCAACATTTATGTTAAAACTCATAAAAAGGAGTAGTTTATCCTTACTTCAAAGTTAGGAGCCCAAAGAAGAAGATGAAGAAACCTGAAAGTGCGCCAAATCAACACTTTTTCAGATCCAAAGGTAGCCCAAGCCAAGCTCTAACTTTTATACAAAGGGACTAGGGTAGAGAATCTCTAAAACAAAGTGTATTTGTAGAGAGAAAGAGAGAGAGTTCAGATAGAGAGAGGGTCGGATCTAGGGTTTGGGATGTAAAGGAAATGAAAAAGTGATCTGAAAACCCGCTGTTGCGAACTGATATATACGAGGCTCGCTCGAGCGAAGGACTTGTCGCTCGAGCGACCAGACACAACAAAGGACCTCGCTCGAGCGCAAGAAGCCTCACTCGAGCGAACAATGGAAAGCTTCAGGTTTGCAACACAGAAGCACGCTCGAGTGCAAGAAAGCTCGCTCGAGCAAAGAATACCAACCTTCAGGTCTTCAGACGCACGCTCGAGCGCAAGAATGCTCGCTTGAGCGAAGAGACACACCACAGAAAGCTCACTCGAGCACAAGAACCTTCGCTTGAGCGAAGAAGCAAAATTCTGGGCAGCAACCATTTATTCCAACCTATAACCAACTTGTTCCAAACTCGCCTAACACATCCCTAAACTTAAATACAAGGAATAGAAGGATGGAAACAAGATATAGATAA